CACATTTTAAAAAGACATTTGTATTTGGCATACAACATACATAAAGACAAATGCTAATGTTATAAAATTTGTAGAATGTTTAATATACCAACCAAAAGATTTTGTCTGAAGAATATATTCTTATCTGTACATGAAGATAGGTTAGGGAAAGAGGAGATTCCTGGTTATCCTGAAATTTGTATGCAATTTCTAAAGGATCTGACATATCTTTAATATGAAGTTCTTCATCTAAAATAACTCAATGAAGTCTTAATAAACTGGCAACATCTACATTTTTTAATGTTCTAAATACGTACAAAGTCTTATTTTCTTGTAAACACTACTTGTTTTACCAAAAGAAATTAGATTTCCATTTCTTTTCTTGTAACATTTTCTATTAATCTTTCTAAAAAGATGCTAACTAAAGAACCCAAGCTTCTCTAATAGAAATAAAAATATGGCCAATTAAGTACTCTAGTTCTAATAATATTCTTTTATAGTATTTCAAAAGCAAATATCAATTCAAACTAATAACTGTAAAAAGAAGTTTAAAAAATCTCAGTTTAATTTCCACAGTCTGTAGGGTAGAGAATACAGGCCACATTTTATTTTATACACACAAAATAAAAACGAGTAATATGTTAGCTTTCATGAAGGGTTAAAACCATAAACCTTAATCTAAAAGGCTGCATCTGCATCAGCATAATCTGATGATTCTCTACCAATTTCATTTACAGAATGCCTCTATATCAAGTCATTATTCACTTTCATGCCCCCACATGGGAAGTGGTAGGGGAATATCTGTAGGAATACAATTTATTGTCTGCACCTCCACTTAGAAGTAGCTGTATAGAAAGAGAGAAAAATACATAAAAACATAAGTAAGTACAATTATTCCATATAATAGCTAAGCCTAAACAATTATTCCATATAATAGCTAAGCTTAAATAACCACTAATAATTTGTTTAAAGAAAAAAAACAAAAACAGCTAACTAAAGAACCCAAGCTTCTTCAACAGAAATAAAAATATGGCCAATTAAGTACTCTACTTCTAATAATATTCTTTTATAGTATTTAGGAATTACAGACGAGCAGTTAACTGACATTGAACATTAGCATTTATAGGGACCACTTACAGAAAATTTCACTACTATTTGGGTTGAGTACCCCTAATTCAAAAATCTGCAGTTTGGGCTGGGGAGGTAGCTCAGAGAAGAGTGCATGTGGGAGGACCTGGGTTTAATCCCCAGTACTAAAACAAATCAAAAGCAAAAATCTATACTTCAGAATACTCCAAAATCCATGTTTTGAGCACAAACATGATGCCACAAGTGGAAAATTCTGCACTTCACCTCATGTGATAGGTCACAGACAAAACAGGCATACCAAAATACATTGTATAAAATTACCTTCAGGATATATATATATATATGAAATAAAAACGAATTCTGTGTTTAGACTGTGTCCCATTTCCAGGATAACTCATTTATGTGCAGATATTCCAAACTCTGAAAAAAATCTGAACTTTGAAATGCTTTTGGCAGCAGGCATTTCAGATACTCAGCCTGTATGATGATACAGGATACTAAAACATCAAAAATGATCATTTGAATTTGGTTGAGGGACAGTATGCTATTGTACTTTCTATGAAGCTTTTGTCAAGATATGTAATAAAATAGTTTGAAAATTGATATAGTTTTCCTTACTTAAGAAAAACAAAAGTTTTTAAAGGACAGTGCATTTATTGTTTGCAAATGGATATTGCAAATTATTCAAGTTGCCCTGGGACCTGTATTTAGAAAGAATTCTTAGGCAATAAGACATTATGTGTATACATACAAAATTAAATGGTAATTCTTTAAACACGTTTTATAATTATATTTATTACATATGATTTTTGTGACTAGTAAATACTTTGATCCAGTTAGTCTGAAATAGTGAATTTATGGACTTAAAATCTCTCATTAAGAATCTCATGAGAAGGGCTGGAGCTGTGGCTCAGTGGTAGAGCGCTTGCCTAGCATGAATGAGGCCCTGGGTTTGATCCTCAGCACCACATAAAAATAAACAAATAAAATAAAGGTATCCTGTCCATCTACAACTACAAAAAAGTTTTTAAAAAGCCTCATGAGAGGAGCTGGGGTTGTAGCTCAGTGGTAAAGTGTTTATCTGGCACATGTGAGGCACTGGGTTCAATCCTCAGCACCACATAAAAATAAATAAATAAAATAAAGGTGTTGTGTCCATCTAAAACTAAAAAAATATAAAGATACTCATGAGAGAAAAGAAATTGATTCAAAATTTCAAATTTTACTATTATCAGAAAACAAAATAGTTTCTTGAGATGTGAGGTTTTTTATTGTAGAACAAAATTATAAAAATGATATACACTGAAACTATTAACTTTATAAACACAAATACCATATTTATTCTAATAAGTCTCCTTTTCATCAAGTAACTAATGAATTCTTACCCCTGTGTCTGTCCAGTCCACACTTAGAACCTTATCTTCATGAGCAGCCAGATCATAGAGAGGAGCCTTACAACTAAAAGAGGAAAATATTAACATGCTATATATATTCACAGGATTAAAACAAACATTTATGAATAATCACGCTTTCCTGAAAATTTTACAGGATTTATCATCCTTGCCTGAATAACCATTTAATCTGAGTCTTAACTCAACCACCTTTACTATTTTTCTTGTATAATCAGCAGACTACAGAGATTTATTACAACAAATATATTCAGGAAAAATGTTATTTAGTTTTAAAGATTTATTCATAATTAGGCCCATTTCACACTTCCTTCACTATTTTTCTTTTATACCCAAATCGTGGCTTTGTTTTTTTTTTAATATTTATTTTTTAGTTATAGGTGGACACAGTGTCTTTATTTTACTTTATGTGGTGCTGAGGATCAAATCCAGTGCCTCACACATGCTAAGCGAGCACTTTACCTCTGAGCCACAACCCCAGCCCCAAATCGTGGCTTTGTATATACTTTATCTAGCCATTTCTACCCTGATAACTTCTATATTTATATTTTTAGCCCAAACTTCTCCCTTGAGCTACACATGTATATCCAATTGCCTGACAGTTGTATGGGCACAAGAAATTTGAAACAACAAATCAAAACTTCTGATTTTCCCTCATATATCAATTAATTGTTCTACCCTTTCCCACCATGGTTAAGTGGCACCATCAATCACCTAACTGCTTAGGCAGAAAATGAGAGCATTATCCTGATTCCAATCTTCACATTGAATCCATAAGATAGTAATCCTGCCTGAGCCATCCTCACCATACACCTAGTACCCAGTTATTTATCTGTAATGCTGCCACCACAGTTCAAGTCACAATTATCTGTGTCTTGAATTATGATAGCCTCTCTGCTTTCATTCTTGCTCCCTTGCTCAAAACCCTCCAAGGCATTCCAATCACATTTAAAATAAAACCCAAACTCATTACCATGTTTTAGCAGGTCACCACCAGCTGCTTCATGTCCTGCCATTCTCCTCTCTGCTTACTTTACTCCATCAACACTGGCCTTCTTGCTATTTTGCCAATATGCCAAGATTCTTCCACCTTATCTGTTGTTCCCTCTGCTGTGATATGTGCATGGTTCATTCCTTCCCACTATTAGCTCACTACTGCAATATCAGAGGGGTCCTCCCCCAAGAAGTGTTCCTTTACTCAGCTACTTTCTTCATAGAACTTACTACTATCATCAGAAATTATGTTAACTGCAATGTAAAATGTTTAAAATGAATATAATAGCTTCTGGATGTTAACAAGTCATGTATCATAAAACAGTATTATAATATATTACAAAGCAGATTTAAGGCCAAAAACAAGACACAAACAGACATTTAGTTAATGCATCTTTTCTACTTGTAAAGACATGTAAATAAGTTCTGTATGCATTTTTTTTGGAGTGCGCTCGCTCATGCTTGCTCTCTCTTTCACGCTCTCTCTCTCTCCTTCTCTCTCCCTCCCTATTATTATTATTATCATAGCACTAGCCTATAAGTAAAGAAATATACCTTTAACACATAATTATCTTTATATTTTTAATTTTTCTATTAACATAATTTATATTAAGGTTCAAGATAATCTTTCTAAACTATTTTTTCCTGTTTTATAACAAAGTCAGAAAGATAGATTATAAACTTCTGATTTTTGTATTTTTTGATAAAAGATAAAGCAACATGGCATTAGGTTTTTTTCAGAATGCTAAAAAATAACATACTAAAAATCCTTTGATTCTGGCTTTTTTGAAATATCAGTATTTTTGAATATTAGGTAGTAAAACCAAGAGCTTTTTTTCCTAACCCTTCCAGGCAGTTTTTTCGTTTTATAATAGTAACTGATATCTTTGGTTTATAGAGAATAAAGAGGACTTACCTTCTTGTATCCCACAGCTTGACAATGTTATCTAAAGAGCCTGAAATCAGCTGCTGTTCATGAGTAGGAGACCACTTTACGGCTGTGACCCAGCCTGTGTGTGAGGTCAGGGATAGTGACACCAAAGAACCATCTGAACAAAGCAAAAAGATAACAAGTACTAAATTTTAGAACAGAAAAATAGGCAGAACAAACCTAAAAAATATTTGGAGAAATCCTTTTTTTTTTTAAAAACATGCCCCAATATTTATACAACTCACCTTTGGTTCGGGGATCCCACAGTCTTATATGCCTATCTGTGCTTCCAGAAGCTAAACGTTTACAAAGTGGAGAATAGGAAATACAGTTAAACACTTTATTTCCTGTCTGAAAAGGAAAAGAAAAGTACATTTGACTATGATAGACTAAAAGTAAGCATTTCTATAAGTTTTTGTCACTTAAAATATAAAAGTTAATCAGAGGAGTACTGAAATCCTTACCAAAGTTGACTTAAGACCGCCCGATTCAACATCCCATACTTTAATTGTGTGGTCCCAAGATGCACTGCAGATTTCTTCAGCATCTGACCAGAGTACTGAGGAAATTGCTTCTGTATGGCCAGAGAGGGTCACCATGGGAGTCTAGAAATGGAAGATCACCCCCAAAAAAGGGAATAGCATTTTCATTTCAGAGTAATTAGAACAATAGTAGTAGTTATTAACTTCCAAGCCATATGCCAGGTATTTTTGCCAGGTGTTTTAGTTTTGATATTCTGCTCTATTTCTTCTTTGTAACAATCCTCCAAGGTGGATATATCTGTTCTTATTTTATACATGAAGATACTGAAACTGAAATAATTGCTCAACATGATACAGCTTATTAGTGGCAGACTTGTGTTTAAACCCAAATAGCACTCCCAAGTTTCTAGTCTTTCTATTGTATTCTGACTCTTCCTCATCTGTTCTACTTTTCATTTTAAGCAGTATTAACACTAATTTAACTCTCCCAATGAATAAACATAATATTAAAGTCCTGTCCCCAAATGGCCTTGAACTGACCCAGTCTTTCCTCTCTTCTCCTATCCTGTAGTTCTCAGAATAACTGTAGAATATGCTGGGAATGTAACATCCTGAGATACGGATAGACTGACCGGAACAGCCTGGGCTCAGTTCCAGCCCCCCCTAGAAACAGGATGTCCTTCAAAGCATTGCCCAGTAGGTCTCATGACTTGTGGGTATAAACCCCAAGTGTTGCTGCTTTTTGGGATTCGTCACCGTGGTGAAAGTGGGGCACACAGTTAAGACTCCATCTACCCCGGGCAGTTTTCTTGGGAGATTGACTCACAATGGATCCTAGGCTTCTGTTGGCCCTTGCTGCTTCTTTGTAAGTGATAAAATCTATTTCATGTAACTTGTGGCATGTGAATGTGTTCTGTCTCACTGGACTAAAGCAATCAGTAAAACTGCAGTGGATGGAAGTGTATAAACTCTTACTCCTAGTGGTTAGCATAGTGATGATCTTTACTGTCCTCTATGCAGTGGGGTGGGGTGGGGGGTCTTCCTCAGTTGGGATCTGTTATTAATGAACCTGCTTCACAGTTAGTGAAAAAAACTTTTAGGTCAGACAGACCTAGGTCTGAGTTGAGGTGCTGCCAATTTCTACATGACTCCTCCAGGTAAATTAATCTCAAAACATTCTTGGCACTCCACTTCCTCAGCATCTTTAAATCCTATTTGTTTTGTTTGTTTGGTACCAGGCATTGAACTCAAGGTCTGCTTAACCACTAAGCCAAATCCCCATCCCTTTTTATTTTTTATTTTGAGACAGGGTCTCACTAAGTTGTTTAGAACCTTGCTAAATTGCTGAGGCTGGACTCAAACTTGCGATTCTACTGCCTCAGGCTCCTGAACTGCTGGGATTATAGGCATGTGCCATCACACCCAGAAGTTCTATTGTTTAATCTTTAAAGGATGTCCATTAATTAAAAACCCCAAACTACGTATAGAGCCTATAAGAAATATGTGAGAAAGACAAAAAGAATTCTGGAGTGGGAGGCAATCGGTCTCCTTTTGTAACTGTTAGAGTTAGATTTCTTAAATATAACCTCATCTGTAACTGGAAGGGTTATGCTAGATCAGGGAATACACTTTATTAGTAAAAGGCCAGAAAATAAATATTTTAGACTTTGCCAGCTACATGCAGTTTCTGTTGCATATTGTTATTTGTTTTTATAATCTCTTAAAAATGTAAAAACCATTTTTATAGCACTATAATATAAAAAGAAGTATGCATAATATAAAAAATAAACCCAAAATGGTTGCTGGGCTCAGTTTGTCAATTCCTGGACCAATTATACAAATATTGCTTTTCTGGCTCTAAAATTTTCCTAAAAGTAGTAAAGGAACCTGATAAAGAAGTAGGAATAAGAAAGATAATCAGAAGCTTATAGGATAGAAAATGACAAGGTAGAAAGAAACAACAGGTAAACTATAAATAATAAGCTATCCCATTCTTAGATGGTAAGTCAAGAGAAAGGAAAACTTATGTTCACATAGAAACCTGAACATAAAAAATATTATACTGTTTTATTCGTAACTACCTACCTGGAAAACAACTCAACTATCCTTCAACTTACGAATGATTAAACCAACTGTGGTATATCCATATAACAGAATCCTACTCCACATCTAAAAGGGACAAACCAATGATACCCTAAACAACATGAGTGAGTCTCAACTACCTTATATGTTAAACAAAAAGGGCTGATATAAAAGACTATGTGCTTGTTATTCTACTTCTGTGACATTCTGGAAAACATCAATGGTAGTGAGAGTATGGAGGTGAAACTACAAAGGGGCAACATGAATTTTGTTGGATGAGAGACCCTTCTGTATTTTGGTTGTATGACTGATCAAAAGCCAAGAGCTGGGTTGGGTTGTAGCTCAGTGGTATAGTGCTTGCGGGGCACCTGTAAGGCACTGGGTTTAATCCTCAGCACCACATAAGGGAAAAAAAAAAAAAAGCCAAGAGCTATAACCAAAAGAGCATGTTTTATTTTATTTTTTTAAAGAAGAAAAGACAATATTGGTGTTATTATTATAAACAAACTGAAGCGGAATAGTACCGGAGGGAAAAAAGAATTATAAAGGAAGAAATTTTATGTTAATATATGAAGCAAATGACAACTAAATGATTGGCAACATTATTCATATTAATACAATTCAGGTACTGGAACAGAATGCAGAGTTGACTTTCAATATATGTCTTATTCCATTTTTTAAAAATCCAAAGTTTTCTATAATTTCTAATTACAGCAACATTTTCACTACAAAAAATAGCACTTTTCTGGCATTATTTCAAACAATAAATTATGAATACATGTATTTAAGCCCTATATAAAGCTAAATGAAAAACTGAATATACTCTTATTTCTCTCAAATGAACAATGGAAGCAATTTTATAAATGCATTCCTCTAAAAATAAAAGGTATTAACCCAGGGCAGTGAGTGATATGAAATAACTGTAATTCACACATTCATTAAAGAACATGAGTCTAGAATATATAAAGAACTCTTAAAAATTTAGAAAAAGATAGACAATATACTTTTTTTATTTTTAAATTTTTTTTCTTAGTTGTAGTAAGACACAATACCTGTATTTTATTTATTTTTATGTGGTGCTGAGGATGGAACCCAGGGCCTCGAACGTGCTAGGCAAGCGCTCTACTGCTGAGCCACAATCCCAACCCCAATAAACTTCTTTTAAATGGGCCAAAAGATGAACAAACGTTTCACATTTAAATATCAAAATGCTAAGGTTTAAATTAAGTTCCACTAAACATCACCAAAAAATGGGTAAAATAATACACTTTTCTTTCTTTCTTTCTTCCTTTTATTAGCTACACATGACATTACAGTGATCTTGGCAATTCATACATTTGAATCAACTGCGGTACAATTTCTCATTTTTCTGATTAATAATACACTTTTCAAAAAGTAAGTTAATGTGTAGTCAAGTGTAGAGGGTTGCACCTGTAGTCCTAGCTACTAAAATGAGTTTAAATATATATATGTTATATGGTAAAATAGTCATGGCATTGACCATATCAAGTGCTGGTGGGAATATGGAGTAATTTGAGCTTTCATTTACTGTTAAATGAAGTGAAAATTGATAATAGCCCATTTTGGAAAACTTTTTGACAGTATCAAACATGCAGAAAGCCAAACATGTGCATACCTTGTGTGACCCAGCAATTCTACTTCTGCACAGTGATCACACACATAATCCCAAAGCCAAATATAAAAACTTTCTTAGCAGATTTATTCATTGAAGCCTCAAATTGGAAATCAACTAAATGTCCATCAAAAGAATAATTTAAAAATTGTGGTATATGAAATTTAAAAATAGGTAAAACTAACTAAGATGGTATATGTCAGAGGTGATTACCTTTCAGTGTCTATTGACTATGAAGTAGATTAGAGGGAATTTTCCAGGTGCTGGTTATTCTCCATATTTTGATGTGAGTAGTGATTACTTGGGTATATACCTTTGTAAAAATTAATTGAGGTGTACGTTTAAGCTGTACACTTTACTACATGAATGGCAAACTTAAAAAGAAAGAGAACAAACCTACCTTTTCAATAAGGAATTTTTATAACTTAAAAAAAATCTTTTTCTACTCAGATACATTCCTTAGAGATTTGATCTGAGAAATACATCAATAGAAATTACCACTGAATGCACTATTTAATTGGTACAGCACTTCCAGCTTTAATTTGTCCTACAAGAGTAAGGAAAACAAGTACTTGCCAGATCTTTCCTTTTGCAATTCAGCAGTATATTTTTAAATGTATTAAGAAGTTCTTCATTACTACTTTCAGTTGGAACCAGTGAGTGTATTGTTTATTGCATCTTAATGAGTTTGATGAATCATTTATGATCAACTTCATTTCTCATTTTCAACAATATTTGTAAGATATCTTATTGGTGACTACAGAAATAAAGTGCAAATATGTGCTTGATTACTGCACATTCATTATAAATATTAGAAAATAAATAAGAAATGTTTTCCTAAACCTTGCTCAGTATTTTCTTCTCATTAAGTATATAAAAACAAAGTAGATCACATTATGACACATATCTTCATAACAAAATAGAATGAATTAAGGATCTGGATGAAAAGTCAAACTCATGGAAGCAAGAGCAGACCTGTGATTGTTAGGGGCTGAAGTATAGGAAAAATTGGGAAAAGTTGGTCAAATGGTAAAAATTTTCACTTATGAGGTGAACAAGTTCTGTGAATCTAGTGTATAGCAAGGGTGATGATATCATGTGTGTGTGTGTGTGTAATCATCATTTTACACATTCTGAATGTAGTCAATCTTTACTTGTAAATTGAACATTTTTTTAAGTAAAACAAAATCTGGATGAACTGTTCAAAATCTGGATGAACAGTTCAATTTAATGGGATCTAAAAACTAAATGATAGAGGCAATTTCCAAATTAAACTCCTAGTGAATTAGGAGATATGACTTGCATCCCTAGTAGAAATTATATCCTTACTATGTGAAATAAATAATATTGAAGTCAGGTAATTAGTTGCTTCACTTAACTCTAGTGCAAGATTTAAAAACAAAAGATCCTAATTCAGAGTGTACCATGAAATCAATTACAATAGCTCTATAATCAGCCTACCAAGCTGTAAGCCTAACTCAATGCTACTCAATTCCACGATTCAGATAAATGTAGCAATAGTACAAGGTTTATAAGAAAAAATTACAAATTTACTGAAAGAAAGCTTAATATTTTTCACCTACTGAAAGCAATCATCTTTTTTTTAGCAGGTTTATAAAGTGAAGAAGGTAAAACAAAAGAAAATACAAATAGGAAATGCTGTTCAATTACCACATATTTATTAAGACAGATCTAAGAAATTACAGTCAGTTCTACTACTTACCCTTGTTAGCCCCAATTGTTCTGTTTTCTGTTTCTTTCTTGGTCTATTTGTGGATTCCTCCATTTCATCTTCTTCATCTGTGGGGACTGCATCAGAGAGAACAAGATTTAATATTGGAAAAATGTTGTCAATATTAATTACAAACTGTTTGAAAGAATTTTTTGCATCTCTGGGTATACAGTTTTTCTGTATTATCTCAGTTCATTAGGAAAAGGATTTTTTTTTTAATCATTTTGGGAAACAGAAAATTATACATTAAAAAAATACCTGGATTACTAATATTCAAAAATAAGAATAAGATCACCATTATGAAAAGAAATCACTTTACCATAGCTATGAAAAATTACTTACTATTAGTTCTAGGAGTTACAACCAGATTGTACTCATTACAAAGGAAGTACTAAGATAAACAATGTTAAAATGAGTT